TCGATCTGACACACAATTATCAGAAATCTCCAACAATCTTCCAGAAACTGTCTCTGATTCTGTGCAAAATGACAGTTATTCTAAAGAATTATCCATTGATCTAAAACTAGACACTAAGGAATGCAATAGTGGGAAAAGTCCTCAGCTTTCCAAGGTTCAGTATTCAGATTCAGAGCTAAACAAAGTTGAATTAGACTCTTTCCTTACAAACAATGATCAAGAGGATTTGAATGGTTCCCAGTTAAAGGATGGTGAGGATTTCAGTGTAGTTAACATTCTAGAATCTGAAGAGATTACAAATGAGAACTTTGTTAATGTAACAACAATAAGTACCACAGAAGAGAAATATGAACAAGCCAATCCATTTCCATTAAGCTGTGAAACCAAGGAACTCCAAATGGAAAAAACAGAAGTGTTGGATAGTATTTCTTCTACAAATGAAATTAAACCTAGTTATGTGGAATTCATGTTTATAGAACATGATACACAAAAATCACTTGCCTCTGATTTGGAATTAAGTGGCACTGAAGAGAGAAGAACTATAGAAACAGAAAGTGCTAATTTTTCAACACTTCAGCCAGAAATCGGCCAAGAATCACTAGATCCTCTTCCAACAGAAATCAGTATTGGGCATCTTGGAGAGGTGACCCTTTCCTTCACAGATTTGAATACTGAAGTATTGAATACCTCAACAGCTGATAATTTTGACTTAAACAATACATATCCAGAACTTAGTTTTGAACAGTCTACTACTTTTTGTCTGGATTTAGAAAATGAAGGAGTCTCTCCAAAATCTGATGAAACAAAGGTTATGGATTCTTCCAGACTGAAACCAAATTTGGAATTACAAACCATTGATTTCACTCTGGGAAATATTACAGTGGAACATGAAGTGGATATTCTGCCAACTGAAATTTTAAATGAGGACAATGTAATCAGTCCAAAGTTAGAAATGGTTGCACCTATCTGTTTAGAGTCTAGCAAAATGAGCGAGTTGGACACTGACCAACCAGTGATCGAATCAGAAATAATTAATTTTGTTGCATTTACCTCTGACGATCAAGAGGAGAAGTTCTGCTCGGTGGTTTCAGATGCAATTATTCCACATGTGGTGTCTTCTGCATCGAAGGGTGACATGGCAGAAGTAAGCATGCCCCTTGTTCAGTTGCAGGATATGTCTTCTGTTTCCATGCCCCAACCCCCATATAGTAGCAAAGGAGACACGCCTGATCAGCTGCTGTGGAGCAGTGGTGGGGAAAATATCCAAAGCCAAACTGTGACATGCATGGAATCCATCCTTCCAAAACTAAAGGAATCTGGAGAAGTGGGGGGTTCAGGTGACAGTGAAATGTATACACTTAAGAATCAGATGCAGACTTCCATAGATAAACTGACAAAGCCAGAGGAAGAGAAGAATGATGATAAATGTGAAGTTAAAAATAAGTTGGCTTCAGAAGTAACTGACAAATCTACAGAGCACCTGGTAAGTACAGACAAAATTGTTCAAAATCTTTAAGCAGCAATTGTTGAAATTTTGTAAATATTATATTTTAGCTTAATAAGTTGAAAATTTATAACTTGCAATAGTCTTTTGTAAAAAAAAAATAATCTAAAATTCTGGCTAAACTGTAAAGTGTATTGTATATATCTGATTGTGTAAAATATTTCTTTTTCAGTCTTGGACTTCCAGCCATTAAAAATGGATTTCTCATCTGTAGTATGCGTTTCAGCTATGGTTTGGTTTTTTTTAATTATTATTTCTGTAAAACTGTGACTACTTTTTACATTTTTCTTTGACTTTTTATGGTTTCTGATTTATACAGCTTTTGTAAATAACATTCCAAGTGCAACACTGACAAGTGCAAGGACAGGTGTTCAGGACTTGACAAAAAAAGAAGGCTCTTGAGCAGAAAGTTTCTTTGAAACGTTTTGCATGTTTCATTGCACAAACTGTAAAATGCATGAAAAGTGTTCTGCATTTTTCATCATGCAGAAGATTGTTCTGCATCTTTTACTTGTTATTATCTTGTTGAACTACACCTGTAATCAAGACTGTGATGCCATATTGTATAAAATCCTGTTTGGATGCCATCTCACTGAGCAAAGGAGAAATATCTATCAACTCACTTTTGGAGAAAGAAAATCTTTGGTAAGGCTGTGGCCCATCAATTGGACTCTGCATATTGAGGTCACTTGCATGATTTAAAAATCACATTTTATTTTACTACATTGTGGTACAGTTAACTGTTTGTGTTAAATTGTTTAGCAGCTGCCTAACTCAGAAGAAATGGAAGATCTGAATTTTGCTCTCTGGATTGGATTTCCATCATATAACCAGACAATACATGCCTGAATGAATCCCTGAGCTACAAAAATACTGTTGTGTGAAGGTTTTCAGTTATACAACTTGTCAAGAAACGCAGTGATGTTTGCATGGATTTATCTAAAAGGTTATATCTGTAAATCTAAAATAAACCCATGATGAGCTGCGACATAATAAATATTTCTTCTGTGTTTTTCTTATGTCTACTTAATAATGTTTGAATTCTGTGGTTGACATAAAGCTGATAAAAGTCTTCCTTAAGTTTTTCATTTTTCAAATTCACCTGATCAGTTTTTTGAGAAAACGTTGTTTAAACATTGCAAAGAATTATATACTTTCCATTTTAAAATAAAAAGTAAAAATGAACTTGTTTTGAATTTTAAATATACTGGTTGATCATACAAGATCAGTGTGGATAAAACATGTGAAATACCTTGTAAATACAAGAAAAAAATACTTCGGTGGAAATAAAATGGCAATCTTAGAAATCATTTCCTGTGAATGTATAGACCTCTAAATTATGAAATGTTACTCAATCTACAGTGCTTTGCTAACAACTTTCTTTTTGAGACTTGGCTCCTGGCACCTACATGTATAAATCTTTGCAGTTTTCATAGCAACATTTTTGAAAACTGATTTGCCATTGACCTATTCCTAGAGCTAAGAGATAATGACTGGCCCAAAGTATCCTAGCTAGCTTTATGCCTAAGTCAGTAATAGAATAGTTTCTTCATTTCAAGACCAATCAGAATTTAGGTTCTAGTTAGTAACCAGAGGTGATCAAAATAGCACATGGTAACCAATGATAGAAATGATCAGATGTAGGATAGCATAAAGTCAGAAATATAGCTAAGATGTAATTGTTTGCATCAAGGTAACTAGGAGTCACGTGGCCAGCTCTATTGGTTTAATTGTACAGTTGTTGAACATGCATGAATAAAATGTATTCATTTAATAAATATTTATATCCTGCTCAATCCAGCAAGATTCAAGATAACTTACACATTACAGTAATGTAACAATAATGATAGCAAAACAAAATTACAACTTCATGAGATGCTGTGGCTTGCACCTCACATACTAGGTCAACTTGTTAAGCATGGAATGCCAGTAAGTAAATGAGTGTAAATCTGTTCATCTTTCACTGTTTTGTTGCATACTGTTGATGGTTTAAGGGTTGTTTAAAGAAGCAAGTTAAATATACAATGTTATTCTAATAAAATTAATTATTACATTCCCTAGCATTATCCTACCAAGGTACTAAATGTACAACCTTTTCTTCTCCTTTCAGTAACTTTTTGTAACTTTTACAATAAGGCTTTGAAGCATATTAGATTAAGAGATGGCAACTGGCCCAAGGCCAGGCATTGAGCTAGTGTCTCCCCAGTCTCAGTCTAGGACTATATTCATTACATAACACAGAGTTTATAATTTCTCATATTCTGGATCAGATTATTACAGCAATCTCTTCCACGATATACAAAAGGCCCTCGCTTATTAACCTGTACGAAAGTCATTAAAATTTTGCTCTCCCCCATGCATTCAAGGCCAGTTGAGTCAGTCCCCCTGTAGTTGTGTGTTTGGTAGCCACTTACTGTTTGTATTTATATACAGTCTAGTTTTTGTTTTAAGTGTGTTATTTATTGTATACGTTTATTATTTATGAGTTGGGAGGCCTTATACATGCTAAAAATAAATAATCTGGACTAAGGTCTCTCAAGATTCTGAGTAAAATTCCTACTCATTTTATTACATATTATATGCATATTCTACTTCATAAATAATATACCTTCTGTTCTATTCTATTCTACTTTATTTACATATAAGCAAGGAAGCTTCAAGAGAAAAATCATCATCCTTTAGTCCATAATAATCCAGGGATGAGTACAGTTACAAAGAAACAAGTATGGATAATAAGCAGTAACTGCAGATAGAAGGGTCAATGAGATAAAAACCAGAAAAATTGGTAAATATAAAATACTTTCAAATGGACAAGCAAATGTGGACAATAATAATGTTGGTTGCAGCAATAGTGGTTGATGTATTCGATGCTGTATCAAAAGATCTGAGAAAGTGATTGGATACAATATGAATGGACAATCTCAGCTCATCAATTACAAAAAAGTATTATTTGGAAGAGTACATATATTGAACAATATCCTAGATCCTTGGGAAGTATCCAGTAGTCAAAAATATCAAGTCTAATCAGAACCATTGGCTTAGGTTACTTTTAAACATTTAAACTACAATTCAGTTGATATCACAATCAACGTTATTTACACAACATTGTTGTGATGTCAATAGAATTGTAGTTTAAATGTTTACAAGTAACCTAAGCCAATTAGCATTGAAAACATGACATTAGATTCTGCATTTAATGGATAAGCTTATATTTAATAATTGGAAGAGATTACCTTTGTATGCAAATGAAGAAATTGTATAACCAAGGACAATCTTTAAAATGTTCTGAACTGTACATTGTTTTAGAAACTTCAAGAACAATGCAAAAGAGAAATTATTGCTGTCTGTTCTGGTACGAATTGTGATTTTACAGATAATCTCTTGCTCTTAACCTTTTCTTCTGAATGTTGACAATTTGCAGGGACTCTTGCTTCAAATATCTTAACAGAAATGAATATAATTGCTTAAAGTTCTTTACCCCCCCCTTTCCCCCCCAAAAATAGTTTCGCTGGTGGTTGACTTGAAACAGATGTTTTAAGAACACATTTTCTCACATGGAATCTGGATTATACTTTTATGTAAATTCAATCTTACATGACCTTAACTTTCAAAGTATCTAAACATAAAATGAAGTGGAGTAATTCTTTCCTCTTTCATCCATCTTGCACACATCCAGCTTGAGCAATTGAAAGCAAAATGTTGATCTCCTGACAGCCAGCTTCAGCTGCTTATGCCTGTCTCCTTTATTGAAGTGGTTGCAGGTGCTAATTCCCCAAGACCTGGCTTAAGGCATTGTTCATGTTTTCCAAAGTGAAAAACGGCAGGAAAGCTTGTCTTCCAGATTTTCATAGCTTGAAAGTGAAGGGGAAAAGACTCATCACCATATTCTGGAGGAATTAATGTGACAAACTGATTTCCCTCATTTTAAGTGTCAGGCCAGGTTGCAAATACATTTAGAATGCGTAAACATGATCACAGAGATCTGCCACAAATGACAATTTACACATAGGCAGTGTTGGCACACAGTTTCAAGCAAGATATACTTCTAACTTCTTTGGAACTTTACTTGAGGCATGTCACAGTGACCTCTTATTCTTAAGAGCCGGGGCACAGTGGTTAGAATGCAGTACTGCAGGCTACTTTGCTGACGGCCGTCTCCTTCCAATTTGGCAGTTTGAATCTCACCAGGCTCAAGGTTGACCCAGCCTTCCGTCTTTCCAAGGTTGGTAAAATGAGGACCCAGATTGTTTGAGGCAATATGCTGACTCTGTAAATTACTTAGGCCTGCAAAGCACTGTGAAGTGGTCTAAGTGCTATTGCTACTTACTTTTTCTGGACCATTATTGTTTTCTTGCATTGAGCCTGTTGTATGAGAGTGTTACGGAAAATCCTGTTATGAAAAATAAGTTCTGTACAGTGGTATTACCTTGTATAATGTTTTGAGAGAGAGAGAGAGAATACTTTACAAAATAATGGTAGCTGGTACTAAATCTCTACATGCTGTGTTACATGCTGGGAAAAAATATCAAGCTATCTGCATATTACTCCATGTTAATAATGTTATTGCTGTTCAACAGGATAAACACCTATGCTTGAGAAACTCTTAGAAGTGTGAAGGGTAAACATCTATGCTTGAGAAACTCTCTTAGAACTCTCTTACAATTAACTGGTTGAAAATAACTGTAAATTGGAAAAAAATAGCTGAAGAAATGCATATCAGAAGTCCTATACTACCCATTGAAGTAACACATTTCTAAAAACATGATTTCGCCCCAAACATTAATTTTTAAGTTTTCACAGTAATAGTTCGAAATATAAGAAGTTCAGGTTTCCAAGACAATTTGACAAAAATCTGGATTCTGATGAATAAATCTGAGTATAAATACATAATTTTTCTGTACTGAAACTATACTGGGAACTTGTTTTTATTAATTTGTATTTATATTTCTCTACATTTTATAGAAATTAGATATTGAAAGGATTGTAGAAGTAAGAAAAATCTTTACCTTGATTGAGGCAATTATGGAATGTCATGCTCAGATAGTTTTTATCATAGTATGTGCATTTAAATGCATTTAAGCTTTCATTGATCCCTAATTGAAATTCCATATTTTTTTAAATTCAGAGAACTAGATTGATTAAGAAACCATCCTTTTTGGTTAGTAGCAATGTTTCATAATTATTATTAAGGTACATCAATTTTGGTTCTAATTGAAATTTTCCTCTCAGACATAAATATAGCAGCTGTAATATTTATTAATTATTATTTAAACTTTTATTCTGCCCATCTCACTAAGCTAATAATATAGTAATCAAACTTTGTATGTGTATGTAAAACGTTTTAGAAAGTCATTGCAATAAAACACATTGATCTTGCTAATTCTGTGGAATTTAGCAGTAATTCATGGAACTGAAGATACTTTATCAGATTCATAGTCTTAAAATAATTCTGTACGGATCAGCTAATTCAGATATGAATCTTCAGACAAGTTCATTTGTAGGGGTAGACGATGGGACATCAGTCTAAATTGGAGGTAAGTTCAATTAAGCTCAATTTGAATAAATACTTTAGATAATAAAAACATTCATACTGCTTTTCTTTTAATCTTACTGTTGATCTATGAAGTGATATTTAGTAAAATTCTGCTTCTAGTTAAGAAGATATAACTAATGAAAGCAACAAATTAGTTTTTGAAGAACTTACAGGACTAATGAACTGAAAGAATTGTAGGACCATAAAAAACCTTTACCTTGCCTGGCACTTCCTGACAGAAAGAAAGAGACAGACAGACAAAGAAAAGAAAAAGATGATCAGGTTAACGTGTGTGTGTGTGTGTGTGTGTGTGTGTACGCACCCGTGCAAGCTATAAAAAGTTCAGGACCCATTCCAGTCCCCTCTCTATTTCTGGCCATCATGATATATATAATGGAGAATAAACAAAAACAATAATTTTGTAGTATTCCATTATTTGCTCAATGTAACATCTCAATTCATTTTCAAAAAATCTTACTGCAAATATTAGTAGCTTCAAATATTTCTAGAAAATACAGAAAAGATCTTGCAAAATAATGCAAAGGGTGCAACTCAATTTATATAATATTCAAGATATACTTAATTCCTCTCATTTTTTTTTACTGAGGCAGTTCTTAATTTTCTATGATTACTTGAATTGGTGGGTTTTAATGGTATGAAGGTTTTGCTTTTATAACTTGATTTCATGACATTTTCCCCCTGACATAATTTGTAGGGGAGAAAAGATAGGGAACAAAGTATTTTATATGAGCTGTACATTATTAAGATATCTAGATGTAGATATTGCAGAAAATGTGTTATTGTCTGTTGGTAGAATCTTCAGTATGATTATAGAACTATGTTTATTGCTAAGTTCATTAAAATTATTATAAAATTACTCTGGTGCCTGGCTGTTCTGTCAACCGTTCTGTTATGATTGCCAATAGCTCTTTGATAGTTCAATAATTCCTTAAGACATAATTTATAAAATATGTATGCATCCCAACTCTAGCAGTGACATTTATATGGAGTGTGGCAAGGTGGCTAATAAGACAATTACCCAAGTCATATTTATGTATTGGAAACACAAAATACTTCATCTCTCATTTGTCTGTGAAAAACGTAAATAGAAAGTAGATCTTGAAGTTTATTTCCCTCAGTTTCCATCTTTGATATTCATAAAGGTATAACCCAGCAGAAATAATGGATGGGTGTCATTCTCAAGAGTGTCATTCTGTGTCCTGAGGTAGAAACAGTTATGCCTGAGATGAAAAACGTGTTCAGGTTGCACATCAATTAAGTTGCTTGCATAGATGTGCCTACAACTGCTTTGGATGGGATGGGTAGTGGGCAATTGAAAGCACTGTAGGTATTTCTGTGGTGGCTACCAGCTTCCTCCAGAATCCATGTAGCACTTCAGCTATATTAATAAAGACTCAAACTTTTTTGTCAAGAAAAGCCTGAAAAAAAATCTATACCTCATGTAAAACCTTGGAAGTAGTGCAAGTTTTTTTTCTTTCTCTTTTTTTGGATTTAGTTTAAAATTAGAAGTTTGTTTGTTAGATTTATATGGCCACCACTCACTCTGACTCTGACTGACAAACAATATGGCATTCAGCTTTGTTCGGGTATTTTCTAGTCCCTGGGGGCCTGACTCACAGACGGACACAACCAGAAGCCTGATGATGGCAGATGAGATTCTGCCGAAACATTGCTACAACTTTAAAAGCACAACTACAATGATGTGGGAAAATACCCGAACAAAGCTGAATGCCATACATGTAAGTACCCACGAAAACTTAAGAATATACATACATACATACATACATATGAATAAAAATCAGTAACCCCTCAATCTGACAACGCACAATCAAATGAACCTCTTATATAAATTTATTTATAAATTTTATTTGCCACCCACTTCATATCCAATGACTCGGCAAATGAGCTCCATACTGGGTTCCCCAGGCCTGTTGACAGAACCAGGTCTTCAGGGCCTCGTGAGAGTGTCCAAGTGGGGATCCGTCCAATCGGGATGATGTTCCAAAGGGAGGAAGCTTACCAGGGAGAAGACCCTTTTGGGTCCCATCAGATGTATCTCCTTAGGAGACAGGACCCGCAACATTGCTTGCTTCCCCACTCTAAATATCAGCAATAGCACAGACAGACCTTGATGTTTGGTCCAACACTCAGGAACTATGGCAGGTGAAGGCAGTGAAATGCAGGCTGGGTGTCATACTTGCCCCAGATAGCATACCAGATCTACAATTGCTATAACTATGTTCTGATTAGAGTTGCCAAGCAAAAGATACACTTGGTTACATACACACACATATATATTCTAGTAAACTTGACGATGCTTTTTAACAACAAAATGGGTCCTTATTCTCAATGGCAACTTCCACCACACATGGCATTTCCACTTTTATCTCTAAAACATTTTGAAGGTGATCCTTCAGTTGAAAAATACTGAAAACAGGAAACTTATTTACAGCTGATCAATGGGAGAACACAAAAGATGGTAATACATTGAGGCTTGCCAAACTAAGCTACCTTCCTGGGGCTATACAGATTCCTTCACCTCATTGCTTACAAAATACCTTTTGCAATAGCATCTCTCTGTGTTGACACAGTGGCTAAAAGTCTGGAAAATAGGAAGCAACTAGCAAGATAGGTGAGCCAAATGTTCCAGCCAGTAAAAAAAATGGCTCACTCACAAGCCTATAAAGTGATAATACTGTATTGAAAAGAAAATACCACTCAATCTTCATTTTGGTCAATGACCAACATAAAACAGGCAACAGCCTGTTTTACAACAGGGTTAGGGTTGTTCTGATAGTAGATAGAATTGTGTTGGACTCATTTTACTTGCTGAGAATACGTGCAATGTGCATGACCAAATTCATCTAATCAAGTATATGATTCATGAATTATAAAAGATGTCCATATTTGTCTAGTTGCATATTCTTCTAAAAGAGCTGGCACAAGGCTATTTAAGAGAGATACTGGTTAAGCTGAAGAAAATTATCATGGACTTAAAACAGGAAAACTTTTCCTTTCTGGGCAAAGTAGATGTGATCAATAAGAGGCATTATTGGAAGAAAATCTGTTTACATCAAGTAAAAATGTACTGCTGAGTCCCGACAGGTTAGAACAATTATTGACTTAATTTTTTCTTTTTGAGATAGAAGCAAAAAGGAAATAGTTTTAGAGTATAATTCACCTAAAATATAAATTTTGATAATTGGGTAAACATTCCAGATGCAGAACACAGAATAATGACTTTCAATTATAAGAAAGGTTGGAATAGAAAGTTACAGGTGGGCTTTCCTTAATTAGATGTTTAAATCTCTCCAAAATATTTTTAATTTTTAATTCCTGCACTTGAGCAGATAGCTGAACTCAGCGGTTTACGTGTCCTTATTCTAACTTTTTTTTTTTTGTAATTAATCTTAGCATTCATCTATATTCAAATATTGCCTTTCTATCACAAACGTGGCTAGTGTAATACGTTCAAAATGCACCACCTAGTGGTAATAAAGGACCTAAACTGAAATATAACGTCGAAATAGTCCTCTGATCCCGCTTACTTTCACAAAAGTCCTCAATCGCACGAGGGAGCCAAAACGTGCTCCTGACTCGAAAGGTTAATCGAGCATTAAACCACCTCCGTTAGGTTACGG